CCCCCCCCCCCCCCGGAAATGACGTTTTTAAAGGTGGCGTAGTTTTGCGTGCGAGAATGTCGACAAAAATTAGTCGAAACGGTAGAACGGAAAACTCTAAGCATAATTGAGCTCCTACATGACATGCGTTACATTGTTTCCGTTGAGCAATTGGGATCATGTTCTAACGCGCGTAGCGGCAGGCGTGATGCTACGCTGGCCTGTTTATTTCCCTGAATATTGATTCGAGGGTGTCGTGTCAGTGATGGTGTGGATGACTGTTTCAACATGTTCGTAGCGCAGGCGTTCAAGGCGCGTTTTTTTAGTGCTTCGATGTTCCATCTGTCTGTGCGACTTGATGTGAACCATTGAATGCATACGGTGAAGAAAAAATAGACGAAGACATCGGGGAAAACTTAGAGGGGGNGAAGACATCGGGGAAAACTTAGGGGGGGGGGGGGAAGGGACTCAACAGGGGGTCCGCTCGGAGGGGAGTACCTATATAATGTAGGTGTGCAGGCACCCTTGACCTACTCATAAGATTGACGAATGAAGGGAAGTCTGTGTATTGTGAGGTGCGACAGAAGTAAACCGTTGGCCAATCAGAAAGCAGGAAGGGGGCGGGTTATTGCTGCTTCCTGTTTCAGTCGCCCGCTTCATTGTGATCAGCTTGTGCAAGCAAGTGACTGTGTGTGGTGGCCCAGGAGTATCTTCTGCGTGACGTTCCTGACCGACGGTGTCGAGTTGTTTGGGAGGTCGTGATCAGGATTTTGGTCCCGTTGTCTACCTTACCACTCCCACACAATACTAACGTGCTTGCGTTTCTCCGCAAGGGCTGCTGTTGTGCAGCATGTTGAAGTTGTGCTGTCGCAAGCAAGCGATGTGACCGTTCTGTGGCTGAGAAGTGCCAGCGGATGGTCGGTGATGGCGGTTGGCCAGTTCTCGCTGCTGGTTGGTCGGCGTTTTTTTTCGATGATGAAGGTCGGTCGCCCATGTTTCCGGTTGCACAGTTTTTGCTGCTGGTTAATAATGCTGGGGGCGTATTACGGCAGCGTTTTGCGCCCCGTCCGAATCGATGGGCGTTTCGTTTCATGCTACGGCCATGTGTTGCGATGACACTAGCATGTTATGCACACAGACACTCACAGAATCGGTCGTCCGCGCATTTTGGGCTGCTATGCAGCATGTTGTAGTTGTGCCGTCGAGAGCACCGAGTGAAGCCGTTCTGTGGGTGAGAAGTGTCAGCAGATGGTCGGGAATGACGGTTGGCCTGTTCTCCGTATTAATCATTAGCGTTTTGTTCGGATGATAACGGTCGGCCGCCGATGATTCCGGGCGGTGCCGTCCATCGCTACTTGCGAAACATCTTGGGGGCACAGTGCGGCTGATGTGTTTGCGCCCTGTGTCAGTCGAGAGCGCGTTTGATGCTGAGGTCAAATCTCGAAACAACTAGCAAGCTAAATGCACACCGACAAAGTCACGGAATCGATTGTCCGCGAAATCGGGCTTGACATATTTCTCATTTGGAGCATTGTGGAGGATCCTACGTTCCGTATGATCAGTGATGGCGTCGAAGTCGTGGCTGACGCACACATTCTTAATTGGCTTTTCGCAACCCGGCATGTCTGCTGGACTGCGCGCTCACGTGTTTCGCACAGCCGTGTTGCTTGAGGGGCGCATTGAGGTCTTGTTATGGCCGTTGGATTGCGGTTGGCCGCGCGCCATATACCATATATATATATATGTGTGTGTTTGTCTGTCTTGTTTGAGAAAAAAACTGTTTTGTTTTGGGCCGGCTGGGGGGAGAGGGGGAACGAGGTACTGTGGGTCAAGATTTTTTTTTTCGTGTACCCTTGATAAGGTGCGTGGAGTGATGCGGTGGTGAGTGGCGTATGGTCGCCCACCCCGCGCGTTTAATCCACATGAGCGTTTATACATCAGAAACGATACAGTACTACACAAGATGAGGTGCTGGGACGAGCGCCGGGTTTGATGTCCACCTCTATTGCGAATTTAGGATCGATGGGTATATGCTCTCGGCGTGGTAGAGGAAACCAACCATCACCCAAGGGGGCACGAAAACACTGTGTCGACACCTACGTACCCATTCTCGAATGTACTCATAGTGGTGCATGCCGTAGTCGTTAGACCATTGACGTCGCATCCCTACAAAGCCGGGACGGAGCACGCCGGGTTCTCACCGGACCAGGCTCTCACATCACCAAGCGCGAAGCGCCGTGAGATATTCGGCGAGTCGCATGAAGGGTGCGCTGCATCCTTCTAAGGGTGCTCGGCATCTTGTGCTTACTTCCTTGCGTACGGATGACAGCTGCGTATGACTTAATTTATTTTCTGGTGCTTTCACTTCCAGAGACATTTGTAAGCACTGTGTAACTGCCTAGAGGGTGCTTGACCATTTAACACAAGGTGGTGCTATAATCCATTTTCCGCGGAGTGAGGGTTCTCCACCCCGAGTTCACGAAGTGAATTGGCTTGTTTTCCAACGTCGTTGCCAAGCGACGAAAACCCAACCCCGATGGCAAACACCGGGGGCGGGCGGCTTGTCTTACAACGGCGTTGCCAAGCGACGAAAACCCAACCCCGATGGCAAACACCGGGGGCGGGCGGCTTGTCTTACAACGGCGTTGCCAAGCGACGAAAACCCAACCCCGATGGCAAACACCGGGGGCGGGCGGCTTGTCTTACAACGGCGTTGCCAAGCGACGAAAACCCAACCCCGATGGCAAACACCGGGGGCGGGCGGCTTGTCTTACAACGGCGTTGCCAAGCGACGAAAACCCGACCCCGACGGCAAACACCAGGGGGGGGGGAAGGGTACCTATAGGTGTGCGGGATTACTGTTTGGAGGGGGGGGGGGGGGG